CTACAAAATGTATTCACGATTCTGCCCATACCACAGGAGGAAGTCTCTCAACAGACCAACAATAGCCTGTCTCTATTCATGCCAAAGAAAGATATGTGCGACCTTTGCATTATCCGTGAAGTTGGCAAAGAGCGGAGGATGTTTGGAATGTTCACATTCTAGAAAGGGGCACCGCGCAAGGAAAAGGAACGAGACAAATCTGAAGCCATCAAATATCTCGCCAGTGATGAACCCAAAACGGTACGTGTTTTTTATGGATCTCGGTCTGTGCTTCTTACACTCAAACTGAATGCATCAGCCCTATATTACAAAACAAAGCTTGTCGTTCATAACTTTAACGCTGCAACACACCAGACTACTTGTTACGTGTGGCATGAAGCACAAAAGGGACTTATGGCAAATGAGTTTGCTTCATGTCCAATGGATTTCCTGAAGGAAAAGCTGGACTTCCAGAAAACCATCATCGACAGCGACGTCTGTGGTTACCAAAACAGAAATGCCACACTAGCCTATGTTTCTCTCAGTCTGTTTGCAACAACACATGGTAGCATAATTGAACCGAAATAGTTGATCAAATGACACACAAATGGAAGTCGACTGTGCACTCATCTATTGAGAGATCACTCTGAAGAGCACATATCGAGGTCCCTCTACACTACCTCCATTTTTTCAGGATAGCAAGAGCAAAACCAGAAACTTCTCAAAACAAATATTTAGATCACACATTTTTCAAGGATTATTCTAAGTGTGGAAGCTACAAGTCTACCTGACCAGGTAGAAAAACGGGTGATCATGTTGTCACCGACGTCAGGTCTTTGAAGTAAACCCCAAAAATGAACATCCAGTTCAAGCTGCACTTCAGTGATGAATGGGCTGACGTTCCGAAGGCAGGACACAGAAACATAAGGTCCATCCTGTCACACCACTGAACACAGAACGTCTTAAAATCCAGCACTCCCAAGTACAATCACATGCAGGAACTTGAACCTGTCATTTCCAGTACGTAATCACTTTATGACAATTTACCCCGTTACCATGTATGGCTATTTATTATGATTCTTTTTTTCAGTCTCTGACATCGTATTGATCTTTTATGAGGTTTTTTTTTGTCGGCACGTACATTATGTATTTTCATAATTACCCCCTTTAGTATTCATGACCCACCACCTTTCGTTTGATTAACGTCCTCCATATGTTTTTCAAAACATATTGGGGTGTGCGTTTGTGTGTGTATGTGTGTGTGTGTGTATGTCTGTCTGTCTGTGTGTGTGTGTGTGTGTGTGTGTGTGTGTGTGTGTGTGTGTGTGTGTGTGTGTGTGTGTGTGTGCGTGTGTGTGTGTGTGTCCCCTTTAGTATTCATGACCCACCACCTTTTGTTTGATTAACGTCCTCCATATGTTTTTCAAAATATATTGTGGTGTGCGTTTGTGTGTGTGTGTGTGTGTGTGTGTGTGTGTGTGTGTGTGTGTATGTGTGTGTGCGTGTGTGTGTGTGCGTGTGTGTGTGTGTGTATGTCCGTGTGTGTGTGTGTGTGTGTGTGTGTGTGTGTGTGTGTGTGTGTGTGTGTACTACATTGTCTTCTTAATAAATTTTGTAATGGACTGATGCATTAAAACTTTTTTTAAAATGTCTATATTTTGATCTAGATCTATTTCTTACCATGTAAAAAGCATCCACAAAGCAAAAAGAGACCATATTGCAGAGATATACATACACACACACACACACACACACACACACACACATATATATATATATATATATATATATATATATATATATATATATATATATATATATATATATATATATAGTATATCAATTCATTTGTACTTTTTGGAAAATGGAAGTAACTAGATCTAATCCTGGCAAATTATATTGAAACATTGCACAAATCGCTAATCTGTTTGAGGATTCAAACCCAAATTCTGCAGGTAACACATTTATTTGACCGCAGTTGGCCGGGAATCTAATTATAAATTAATTGGTCTTGAAAAAACGTCTTTATCACTTTGTGGAGTTCCAAGCAACAGACGCATACTGCAACCTAGTGAGCTGCGAGAAAACTCTCAACCCTCAAAATCTGTCCTGATGAAACCTCGCAACCCTCCCGCCGGCTGACTACAAGATTTCCTCACGACAAAAATGTTGTAATGAAACCTGGCATCCAACAGTGTAACCATTTAAACCGTAGAAAAGTGATTTTGTTTTCACTCTCCACGTTTCTAAGGTGTTTTCATTTATCTGTACCAACTTCGGTTCATAAACGTCATTTTATTCAAGTGTAAATCAGTTTTTTGCCTCTCCTGTAAAATGTTCCTTTCTGGGGTTGCGAGGTTTCATCACTCCACCAGCGACATATGTGAGGCAGGCTCTCGTCAATTTTTGGGCATATTTAGTTATTGGTATCATCTTAAAGCTTGTTCATTTGTTTTGCTTTCAATGAAAAAATTACCCATCCATCTTCAATAGAAGTGGGAGATATTTTAGATGAGAGGAGGTGGGGGTCACCTGATTTAAGAGGTAAAATTAGCGAGAAAATGGCCGCCAAAGCTTGGTAAATTCCCAAGCTGCAGAGTCCATGGAAACTGTAAAATTATATTTTTTGTACCTTTAATCAACGTTTTTGGTGAAATCCTCAAAAGAATGTGTTTGTAAAAGGACATAAAAAGTGTTCTGCCTAAAAACGAAAATTTGATAAAAATTGCTAAGCAGGGAGAAAACAGCTGTTTTCTTCGATTTCATTATTCTGACGAGAGCCTGATTCCACCACGCTGCCTCACATAGTAGTACTAGAATACTGTAAAGTAGCTCTACACAAAGTAGCTGACCATTTCAAAATCTTATGAGAATACGGAGATACAAAAACAGAACAAAACAAAACTGTATAGCTAAAAAAAAGGGATAGAAGGCACGGTTAAATTTGTTGAACCCGCGTCTGTGACGTAGTGGTTAGGCGCCTTGCCGTCGCACACAGGAGACCAGAGTTCGATTCCCAGATGTGTGAATTTTTATCAGTTGTCTCGATATTTCTGCTGGGATGTTGTATCCCTCTCAACTCGGATTGGTACGGGTGAGAAGGGCTGAAGTCCTCATCTTGATGTAATGATTATGATTTAAATTGTGTCGATGGCAGCCGTAGAAATGGCAACATTTAAAATATTAACAAATTCATCGATTTGATCACAAAACTCGTTGTTTATTTATAAAATGACAAAACGTGGACAGGCCAAAACGCCATATCGTGCACATACAGAGACAAATGTAGACGCTCACTCTCAACCTCATCTTTCATCCTTTTTAGACAGAATAAAATAATACCTAGGTGCTTCACTGTTGCACGCAGGAAACCCAAGTTCGATTCTCGATTGGGGAGAACATTTTCTATCGAGTATCTCTCTCTCTCTCTCTTTCTGCTGGAATGCTGCAACCATTTCAGCCCAGGCTGGCCTTCCCAGGAAGGGTCGGAAATCTGCCTCCTAAATAAATTATCTAAATTGTGTCGATGGGGTCGCAGAAGCACCTACATTTAAAAAAAAAGAATTAGTACCGCACACTATCATCGATGGAAAACGCAACTTTTTATCTAAAGCCCAGGGCTTCAAAGTCACCATACCTCTTATCCATGAGATATGAAATTACAAACAGCTGCTCCTCTTTTAACTGTAGCTTAGATCCTAGATCTAAGATTCTGGCGAAAAACGGATGGTTATTAAAAAACAACAACTGAAATGTGGTCATTAAAAAAAAATCCACTACCAAAGGCGGTGGTGCTTGCCATTTAAATGTTGCTGCTTCGTATTCGATGAACGTATGGTTTATACCAAAATGTTGGCTTTCAAATCTATCAACGTCTTATCTGCTTTCGAGTCCCATACTTAATGAATTACGGTATATGATACAAAGAAATGGTAGTTGTTAAGATTTTTCCCCGTAGCAGCATCTGAATAAGGGCTATGATTGTTTAAAAATATTTTACAATTTTAGTTTTTATTTCTATAACATTTCGTTTTCTTGTAAGAATTCTTCCCTGTCGTTTTTTGTTGTGGCAAACACAAAACACACACACACAAAAACAAGCATCGTATTGTTCAGTCGTATAGTTCAGGGGTACCAACTACCCCCCACCCACCCTGAAAAAAGAAAAAAAGAAAGAAAAACCTTTCCTCGTTTTTCAATTCCCTTCTCAGAGGATACATGTCGGTTTGGTGACAAAATGTTGTTTTTTCTTGAAACATTCCTGCTTTCATAATTCTACTTAACTGAACTCTTTCAAATACCATTGTTCAAACCCTGTAGACTGGAAGTTTGAGAACAATGTTGACCTGCATGTATACTGACAGAAAAATAGTTTACTGATAACATTTCATTCACATGTATTCTCAATCACTTGCAACCATAGTCACTCCAGTTCACATTTTCATTTTTCCTACACGCATCCAATATTTTTCAATATCTCAAAAACGTAACTCATTGACAACGCTCAATTGGCAATTACAAATACATTATATAATATTACTTTAAGACAGTCTAATTTGTAATAATAATAATAATTATTATTATAATAATAATAATAATAATAATAATAATAATAATAATAATAATAATAAAAACCAGGTGTGTTGGTGGTAGCAAGAATGAATATAGCATGAATAAAGAGGATGAAAATAGTGGTGGAAATGAGGATGATCACGATCATGATAATCATAAGAATAACAATAATTATCATAAGAACAATAAGAAAAATACTAAAATATAGTATTATTAATGATAAAAGTAACAATAATAGAAATGATAATAATGATAACAATAATAACAATAATAACAACAATAACAATAATAATAATAGAAATAGTAATAATAATAATAATAATAATAATAATAATAATAATAATAATAATAATAATAATGATGATAATAATAATGGTAATAATAACAATAATAATAATAATAATAATAATAATAATAATAATAATAATAATAATAATAATAATAGCAATATTAGCAATAACAATAATAATGGCTATCATAATAATCATAATAATCATAATATTAACAATGATAATTGTATTATTCGTAACGACATAACGTCCTCCATACGTCATACAACCGTCTGTCGCACGGGACTGTCTGGCTTCTGCACCATACTAGTAGCAGACGTGGCAGCCGTATCTTGGCGCCGTCGGAGCACCAGGCACAGCATCACGCCACAGATGCTGCACACCACCACGGACATACAGCCAATCAGCAGCGTCAACAGGTTGGGACGGGCCAGCGGATTGGTCAATTCGTCTCGGCCTGTGGAGGGAGATCGTGGTTTTTAAAAAACAGTATTATTGTTGTTCCTGTTGTATTGTTGTTGTTGTTGTTGTTGTTGTTGTTGTTGTTGTTGTTGTTGTTGTTGTTGCTATTGTTGTTGCTATTGCTATTGGTATTGTTATTGTTATTGTTACTGGTATTGTTATTGTTATTGTTACTGGTATTGTTATTGGTATTGTTACTGGTATTGTTATTGGTATTGGTATTGGTATTGGTATTGGTATTGGTATTGGTATTGGTGTTGGTAATGGCTTTGGTGTTGGCATCAACATCATCATCATCATCATCATCATCATCATCATCATCATCATCATCATCATCATCATCACGATCCTCCTCCTTTTCCTCCTTTTCCTCCTCCTCCTCCTCTTCATCCTCCTCCTCCTCCTCCTCCTCCTCCTCCTCCTCCTCCTCCTCCTCCTCCTCCTCATCCTCCTCCTCATCCTCCTCCTCCTCCTCCATCTTGTTCTTGTTCTTTTTTTTCTCTTTTTTTTCTTCTTCTTCTTCTTCTTCTTCTTCTTCTTCTTCTTCTTCTTCTTCTTCTTCTTCTTCTTCTTCTTCTTCTTCTTCTTCTTCTTCTTCTTCTTCTTCTTCTTCTTCTTCTTCTTCTTCTTCTTCTTCAACTGGCAATTTCAAGGCTGGTTTGGTAGTAAAAAATTTGAGATCTTTATCATGTAAATGAGAGCGTAAAACTTTTCCAATGAAATCACTCACGCGTGTTGCAGAAGGGCGTCTCGTAGCCTTGTGAGCAGCCCTGTGGGCAGTGGCCGGTCACGTGATGGCAGGGGGCGCCATTGGCGCATTAGCCACAGGCGGTGGTGCAGTGTGGGCCAAACGTGTCGTTGGCACATTCTGGGAGGTTGGAGGGAGTGGGGGTCGGGAAGAGGAGGGAGGAGGGATGAGGAGGAGGGGGAGGGGAGGAGCAGGGATGAGGGGAGGGGGGAGAAAGTGGGAAAGGAGGACAAGGAGGATGGACGGGGGTGGGGAGGGGAGAGGAACGGGGAAGAGAGAAATGAAGAGAGGGGACGAGGAGGAGTAGGGTTAGGGCCACAGCAAGGACAAGAGGTAAGGATGAGCAGATATGAGGAGGAGGACGAGGAGGCGGGGGGAGAAGGGGAAAAACAAGGGGGAGGGGGGGGGACACAAGAAAATGATCATATGTCTTGAAGTATCATTATTAATCGCTCTGGAATCTACAGAGAGATTTTCACGAAGCCATGTAAGCCACACTGTGTATGACAAAGAGGCAAACGGTGGAAGCGATGGAAAGCATGTATCAAAGAGTGGACTGGCCCTGATTTGAGCATCGTGCTACGGAAAGCTGAGAACACGCGAGTGGTGAATGAAGCTGGTTGTATAGTCATCCATTGTGATGTCCCAACGGTCACCCAGATCATTGAATATGTGAGGTGAGGTGTGATGAGGTGAGGTGGGGAATGTCTGTGTGACTGAAATGCTTTGTTCCAGCACTAAATAATCGTTATTGTGTTGGTGTGCTTCTCTTCACTCAAAAACAAAAGAACAGGGGGGAAAAAACCCACTAACAAAAAGGGAAAAAAACCAATCTACCAAAATCAAACATCCCCCTCCCTCAAAAAATAAAATAAGTAAAACATTTAAAAATAAGAAATGAAAGAATAAAAGAAATAAAAATCGGGGACACAACTCACTATCAAGGCACTGGGATCCCTGCCAGCCAGGCTTGCAGTCAGACGGACACCGCCCCAGGATGACGTCACACTGTCCGAGGCAATGACCACACATGTGGGCGCAGTTCCGGCCGTAAAGTCCCGCCGGACACTCTGGAACACGAGGGAAAAGCAGCATGTATACAGTACGTGTCCGGTACAGTTCTTGCTCTTTTGAAAAGGGGAATAGTGCTGATGTATTTATCTCTGGAATACTCATAAACAAACACACTTACGAATATGAATATGAATATAAATATGATTATGAATATGAATATGAATAATATGAACATATCCGAACCTGATCTAACGACCACCTTTCTAAAACAACAAGCTGCACGATTAACGACCTCCTATGACATCACCCAATGCTTTTTCGCTATTATGATGACACAATCCAAGAGGACCCTTTCTTTATGATGACAATTTTTTCCCTCTTCGAAATGGGCAGTCGTCTTGGACAGGTTTGACAGCATAGATAGATAGATAGATAGACAAATAGACAAATAGATAGATAGATAGACAGATAGATAGATAGATAAATAGATAGATAGATAGATAGATAGATAGATAGATAGATAGATAGATAGATAGATAGAATACAACTAATAATGTAATGCTGTGACAAGTTATGACATAGAAGAAATTGTGATGACTTTCTTCCATATTTTTTCCGACATAAGACTTCAGTTTGTCCTCATAATAGACCTCTTGGAACCACTTTCCTGCCCCTGCCCTGGCTAATGTTGCTTGAGAAACTCTTAGGACGTAAAGAGAGAGGGAAAAGTGGATGTCACAGAACACGATATTGTATTTGTCATCTGCTCGCCCCGTCTGGCAGAACGATTAGGTGCAATTAAGAAAGGATGTCTGAGAAACCGCGTTATTTCCAGAACCTCAATTTAAAGGGAAAAGCGTACAAATTATCTATTATTCGATTCAAGATCTGCAAGCGTATGAAAAAGACGCTAAAGCTGAGCAAAACGAGGAGGCTACAAATTATTGGTTATACTCCGCACATTTTGAGACAAAATATTGTAAAGCAATAAAGGGAAATTAAGTCCAAAAGGGAACATAGTATAGCATATAAGGCTAGTTAATTGTTTCAAGATCTCTAAGCCGTTGAATAAAAAAAAATTAAAACTAAATCAAAGCGCTGCGAAAAATCATAGATTTGACTCAATAACTAACTGTGAGATCAACTTAACAGTAAGGAGAAATTAGAGACTCAACTCAAGAGAGAAAGTGGGATTGAGAAAACGAAGGGTTTGAATGTTGGAGATACTCTATTTTGTCACTGTGCCCTTTTTGTTAAAGAATCGTTTAACCTTTAGGATTGTGGGAGCGCCAGGTTGTCATGACAGGCTCTGAAAAATCTCACAGCAAAGTTCGAGGGCCGGAGGACACGTAACGCATTCTTTTTGTTCGACTTTTTGGGGCTTTATTGCATCTTATTTATTTATTTATTTATTCACTTTTTGCTTTTCGTGTTGAGGAATTCGTTCAATCTCAAATCTAGTGTTATGTATACTCCATGTACCGGTTCTCAAAGAGCAACCATGTTGTGTTTTACTTGTGATTTTTTTAATGGGTTTTTTTTTGGGGGGGGGTAAGTGCATGAGTGAGGGAGAATAGAGAGAGAGAGAGAGAGAGAGAGA